GCTGCTTTAGTTCTGAACGTAGCATTAGAGGGTTTTCTGTTGCCGGTAATCACTGTAAATGCTGGCCGATCCCTTCAACCTTGCATTTGATTGTTTTTTGTTTTTGTAGCACTGCTGAACTCGTCTGGAGTTGACGTAAACGCTTTACCCGACAAAGTCGTCACTTCTGATCGTTTACAATGAAAGGAACACTAAATTACAGTCACTGAATGTGCAGAGTCACAAAAACCCAGCAGACTTTAATGATTTTATATCAGTGTAAACAACAATAAAAGTCACGTTAAAGACATTTATTTTCCCCCAGCGTCATATGACCGGCGGTCCAAAATGGAGGAATATCAGGTAGTCTCCTCGTTACCATTTGCACGATGAAGAGATGTTTGAGGAAAACAACCACTTGAAATCAAAGACAGATAATAAGTTTGGATCTGACCTGTTGGGACGCGTTGAAAGAGGTTTAGAGGACAGGATCTGGTTAAGAAAATAAAAACCTGCCCACAAAGCTTCTTAAAGTCAAAACGCTCCTTTTCTTTATGTTGGTGCATTAACTCTTTACAGTAGATAAAATACAGCATTAGGTTTAATTGCATCTTATAGCGTTATCAGCTTCGCTGCAGTTACAGTAAATTATTTCAGACATATCAAATCACCGATCTTAACAGCTTTTGGTTTATTTTGTTTTGTGGAAATGGAAATTTCCATCGTCTGCCTTCATTCATGGTCATATAACTCAGTAACAAAGTACAGATCTGAGATAGAGTTTTGATCATAGATTATTCTTCTGCGCAGCCTCAGAGGATTGTTTGCGGGGGTTGGTGAAGTTGTTGGTGCTGAAAGCTGCTCCGTAAATCTCCAGCAGTCGGGTTTTATCTGTCTACATTCTCAGTTTTTATTTGAAAAAGCTTAGTTAAACCTTAAAAAAAGACACCGTAATCTAATCTGAAATCTCTGGGAGATTTTTTTTATTCTGTTGCTTTCTGCATTTTTCGGATTTATTCTTCTCATGAAGACATTTTCCAGTATGACATCCTCATGGTTTGATAACCTAATTGAAAATAAGATCATAGTATTCATTTCAACTATTTAACACTAAAGAATTACTTTAATTTAAACAAGAAAATTAACAATATTTATTATAGCATCAGGCATTTACGGAAGAGGATTAGGGCCACTGGAAAAAAAAAATTAACTGATTTTTAAATTTTATTTCAGTTTAGTATAGGGAAAAAAGTCAGAATTCTGAGAAAAAAGTCAGAATTCTGAGAAAAAAGTCAGAATTCTCCCTTTTTTCAGAAGTTTCCTATACTAAACTGAAATAAAATTTAAAAATCAGTTAATTTTTTTTTTCCAGTGGCCCTAATCCTCTTCCGTAGGCATTATGTAACATTAAAGTTTTAATTCTATAATTGTACCATAAATGATGTAATTATGGTACTAAAATATTTCTATCCTTAACTATCTAAATGATGCTAATACACATTGTAAAAAAATGTTTTATGACTTTTCTGAGACAATTTCGATGTTTCTTACATTTTCTTCTCTGACGTCATCGTAGGAAATGCTCAGAGCAGACCGGAAAAATATGATTAAACTATGTTTATCTGCCTTTTAGTTAATTCTTTAGATTACGCACTTTATTTCATAATGTTAACACAAAAGGAAAACATTAAAACTCAAAAAGATTTATGTTTAAATCCAAAGCTGAAAAAGTAGCGTAGCATCCCAGCCTCGGGGCAGAGCGAACACTTAAAACGTTATATTTTAGTACGCTTACTATTTTTGGGAAGGGAAAAACCTCATTTAGGTCTTTTTTTTTTATAAATAAAATCGAGAGCGATCCGGATGTATATCTGGATGCACAAATGAGCCGATGGTTCGGATCGCGCTTCCGGCACGGATCGGGTTGTGACGATGCATCACTGAACCTAACGAGCTAATATTAGCCTGTTAATTAGTTCGGCTATCTGCTCTGGCAGCCCGAACTCTGCTGCCATGTAGATATTCTACGAACAGATTGTCAGTTTTCATTGTTAACTTTGTAATTTTGTGTCTAAGATGTTGCTTTTTAACTAATAATCAGATTAATCGATTATTGGAATAATTATCCACTAATTTAGTCATCGATGAATAACTGGAGAATAGGGATTCTAAAACATGCCTTTAGCTGACAGAGGAACCACTTAGAGCAGGAATTATATCAAAACAGTAAAAAAAAATAAATAAACACGTAAACATTTTGCATTCAAGAAGAAAAACTTTATCAGTCAATCTGCTCCATCCAGAACGCCTCAAGTGGAAAAGTTTTAGTTTCACCTGGTTTAATTTTGTAGAATTCTTTAAGGAACCTTTGGCTATCCCATGATTGGCTAAAACCTAACTTTGGTGGGCGGGCACTCTGAGTCCGTTCGCCCAATCAGCTCTGACGGTTCTGTGAATGTCCCTCCTTTCCTCCCAAACAGGCTTGTCAGGTTAGAACACAATTATGATTTATTAAAATTACTGACGTGCCGGAAAACAAAGGTGTTTCCACTATATCAAAAAAGACTTCAAATCTTATTTAGACATTCCCTGTGACTAGTAGCCAAATCAATTTATTTAATCGTCTTATAAGCCAGAGGAAAGTGTCACCGGCATTGGATGGAATTGGATGGAATTGGGAAGTGGATGGAATCCCATTAAATGGTTGTTATTACTGGTTATTAGTCCCATAGAATGACTTCAGATTGGGCCTCCTACCGCTCAGTAATTCTATTTTTCATTCTGACTGAGCTTGTTAATATCGGGGGGTTGCTTGAGGACCCAAATGAGACGAGGTCTTGTAAGTTTAAGGATGAAAAACTGAGGCAAACGTCCAAAAACACAAAAATAATGAGAAACAAAAAACCAGCAAACATCAGAGAAAACTTACATTCGGAGCCAGAGACGAGGAAGCAGCACTGAGTGACTGCAGAGGTGGAGTATATAAGGGGAACTAAACAAAAAATTGTCATAATATTATTTTTTTTTTTTATTACATAGTGAACGTGTCAACATTGGGGTTGTGGTTGCTTCAGGACCCAAATGCAGAGATTAGTTCTTTTGATTAAATAGAAAAAAAAACTGAGGCAGAATAAAAAAAAAAACAGAAAAGATCAGGGGAAACGCACGTGGGGAGCCACAAACGAGGAAGCAACTAACAACAACAAGGAAGTAGCACTGAGTGACCCCAGAGGTGGAGTATATAAGGGGAACTAAACAAAGGATGGACTAATGAGCTGAATATGGAGCAGGTGGGAATAGAACTAACTAGAAGGAAGCCAAGGGGAAAAGAAACAAGCAGTAGGGGGCGACAGAGAGTAACTAAAGACAGCTGGAATAAATGGAAAATAAACCAAAGATCAACAAAACAGAAGAACTAAAAACTCTGATTCCCAGAACCATTACGGAGTTAAATTTGTGTGACTGAAACATGTGGAAATCACTGGAAGTACAGTTTTAAAACACTATTTTTTAAAAAGAAGGTCGGCTGTAAATAAAGTAGTTAAAAAGTATAAAGTAGGTAAATAGAAAGTGAAACTTAAGGTTTTAGACGTGGCAGAAGCAGCTGTTATCAACCATAAGCTGCAGTCTGGAGCGGGACTGATAACAGCTAATAACGACCATTTAACGGTTGATCACATCCGAAGCGCATGGAAGTATAGTGCTCACCTTTAGGCAGCTGTCCAGCAGTGCACAGCAACCGGTTAGTATAGAAAAAGAAAAGCTTTTCTCTGTGCTTCATACAATCTCTGTCTGCTTTCTGTAGCATTTAGCCTTTTTTCAGGGTTTTGGACATTTTCAGCCATTTGAATCGGAATCTCTGTAAAACCTTGATGAATGTTTCATATAGAAGCGCAGGAAGGTGACTTTAGATGTTTCATTATTTGGATTTTCTACTCAGTTTTTTTCTTTGGAGGACATATTTCCAAGTAGCCAAATTTTCCTTGCCTTATGCAAAGGAGCAGTGGAATAGTTTACACCAACAGGTGGGGGAGGGGCTGTGCTGTGTTTCACTTTGTTGCATAAAACTGGAATAATCTCACTAAATCGACTGTAATGTTACAATAATTGGAAATTAGGGATGCACGATATTGGGATTTTGGCCGATATCCGATACGCCGATATTTTAAAACTCATGTAGCCGATATCGATACCGATGTTAAAGCTGGACAAAAATAAGTAGTCATTGAAAATAGCAGTTTTGTTATCCATTTCTGACACTTTGAAAAATAATATACTCCAATATATTTTCATATGCTGATATCAAATCTATTTTTAAAAACGCGGTATCGATCTATTTTACTTTCAAAATCTGGTGAAATTTCATCATTCTGTTACAAACTCTCGTGATATTTTGCAAATTCTTGTGAGATTTTGTTAGTAAAATAGATCGATACCGCGTCAATATATCAACATATAAAAATATGGCAACATTTGGTGAATTTTCGGGGGATTTCGTAGCATAACGATGACATATAGCAATTTCATTAGTAAAAGAGATTGATATGGTGTTTTTAAATGGCAATATATCAGCATATGAAGATATTGGGATATTTTAATGGATCAATATTTTTTCCCTCGTCTTTAGAAGTTTTTAAGTCTGTAAAAAAGACGTTTTTGAGGAAGAAGAAGTAGTATTTTATTTTATTTTTTTAGACTTTAGAAACTCAGAAGCTGATCAAATATCGGGTTAAATATCGGTGGGGTGGCCGATGTCCGATATTCAGTTTTAAGGCCGATACCGATAGGGGGCCCATTATATCGTGCATCCCTACTGGAAATATTTGCAGTTTTTAAAAGCCTAACTTTCTAACATAACTTTCCTTAATAACCTGATTTTTACATTTAGTTGCATAAACATGACGTCTGCTGTGGCTTATTTCTGATAACGACTCCTATCTTCAGCGTTTGTCTTACATACCTTCGTTTTTTATCTTTAAAAATGAGCCAAACTGATCATCTCTTTTTTTTTTTTTATCCAGGTTAAAAGAAATGGCCTCGCTTTACTGGTTCCTCGTTGGGGTCCTGTTTTTCTCTCTCTATGCAGTGGCTGAAAGCTGTAAGTTTAAATGGTTGATTTCTATAACATGGATTCATTTACCTGCTCCAGGCGATTCCTTTAACCTTCGGTTTTATTTTCTCTTCCTTTCTTTCTCTACAGCTTTTGTTAAAGTGGCATGTGATCCCATAAGCATGGGCCAGGTGAACCATCAATCGTTGCTGAAGTGTGAGGTCAAACTGACGCAGCCTATACCAGATTTACAAATCACCGTGGTGGTCTGGAAGAAGAAAGGGCATGAAAGTCCTATTGCAGTTTATGATTTCAGAAAGAACGACCAATTTAAAGAGCAACCGGGCTTTACGTTTCCTAACCGCAACATTAACAACTTCAACGTTTCTCTGCTCATCAGCAACACTGAAGTGAAGCACCAGGGAAAGTATACCTGCATGGTGGTTACAAGTAGTGGTAGCAGCAACAGCCAAACAGAACTCAAAGTGACGGGTGAGGATTACACTTACACTAAGACTAAATAAACTGCTTATATAAGATGATTTAAGAAGTGCTGCTTTCATTAATATGAAAGACTTTGACCATATATGGCTGTATGGGTCCAAAAAATAAATAAAACTCATTATTATATAGACTCAGCTCACATAGAGTGAAATATTCCAAGATTCTATTTCTGGTCATTTTTCTAATTATGGCTCATAGAAAATAAAAACCAGTAGTTTAGGCCCCGTCCACACGAAGTCAAAACAAACACGAAACGCTAATATTTACCAGAACGTTTGTCGTAAAGACGGAGACGTAAAATAAATGTGATCGTCCACACGAATGCATGAAAACGCTGCAAAATGTATGCCAGGCCTGTAAGTGGCGCTGTGGTGCCAAAGCAAAAACAGGCGAAAACAGGCAACGAAATGTTGGGCATGCGCAGTAATATTTATACATGGTTGCCCTGCGGGTCTATTTTCGTGGTTCAGTCAAATTCAGGTGCTGAACTATGTGGTCGATATTGCTCTGTTCTTCCTGGAGATATTCCAGAAGAAGAAGATTCTGTTGTAAGCCCGACAGCAGGGTGAGTAGCATGAGCAGCAACCATTCAACACAGTACGGCGCCATTGTTGTTGTGATACCGTGTCGCGCATGCGTGTTTAGAGGCGACGCTATGACGCATGCGTGTTTAGAGGCGACGCTATGACGCATGCGTGTAAGAAGAAAAATGCGGTTAGAGCTTAAAGATGGAAACGCGAAAACGGCGTTTCAAAATCTTCCCACTCTGAAGGCTTAATAAAAAAAAAAAGATAGTTTACAGACCCCCGAAACGCCGGCTTCGTATGGATGAGAGGCTGGTTTGGTGAAAAATGTGTGCGTTTAGGCCAGGGTTTGGCTTCGTGTGGACGGGGCCTGAGTCTCAGAAAATTTGAATGTGTATATTGGAGAGTCCTGGTGCCACAGTGAGAAGATAACCAAATGAAAACAGCTGAGAAGGTTTTATTTAGCCTCTAGAAGGGCTTTCAGTTTGGGTCACCTGCAGTCAGAGCCGACCGGACGCGAGTCCAGAGGACGTCAAACAGGACTGTTGATAAAAAAAGAAAACAGAGTGGCAGGAAGAGATGTAGGAAGATTTTAATTGATCTTATGTCCAAACTTTTTTATACACTTTTCATTATCTAAGCTTGCATCATAGTCATAGTGTCATAGTTAAAAAAAAACAACAATCCACTGGACTTTGTTTCCAAGGTTGAAGACGTTTCTCTTCCCATCCTGGAAGCTTTTTCAGTTCAAAATGTCAGAAATAGCGTTTTGCTTCTTTTGTTCGCCTGCAATGCCCCATACCTGTCTATGTCTCTGAAAGGGGGGGTCGTTAAAGGGAATTGTTGGCCTGGCTGAATAGGTGAGGTCTTCTGTTCCCCTGTAAAGGGGTTGGGGTTCCATGATAGCGGGAAGTAATCAACTCTATCGCTGCATTGTACCTTACCAACCTTAAAGGTATACTATGCAACCGGTGTTGATTTTCCAGCGAGGCTCCCCCCAGAGGGCGAAAGTAAAAGTGCACTGTCGTAAATATGCTCAGCTGTTCTCCTGGTTTCTCCGTCAAGCCAGGCCAGTTGTTTTGAGCTTAGCAGACAGGCGAACGCAGCGAATGACTAATGCTGCGTTCACACCGCAGCTGGCGCGACAGAAGCAGCGAGTTTACATGCAAAGTCAATGGTTGACGCGCGTCAAGGCGCAGCAAAAGGTCCAGCGGCGCGTTTTGAGCAGCAGGCGCAGCACGTCTGAGCAGCTGAAGCAGCGCATCGGGCGCGTTTAACGCAGGGAGAGAGAAACAGCGCTGATGATCACTCCTCTTAAACAATTTATTGACGCCTAAATTAACTTAAAATGCAGAAATCTGCCGGCAGAATATGCAGTTTGGATTATTTAGATGAAAAACACCTACCAGCTGCCGCGGTGAACCGCTGCTGATGAAGGGATCCATATTGTCGGCGCATCCCTGGTATGTGGGGGTCTGAGCGGCTCCGACAGAAAAAATATTGAAGGCAGGATAATAATCTGAATGAACTGACAGCACTGATTACGTTTTCAGGTGTATTTTCTCACTTAAACACATATTAAAACTACTTTATTCCCACTGATCACAGCAAATATAGCTGGAAGGCAGAGAAAGGTTAGTGAAGCTCCGCCCAAAGCGCATCAGACACACTTTTGCACCGCGCAGCCAGAGCAGCAAAGCTGCTTCAGCCACGCGTCAGAACAAACTGGTACAAGCAGCAAAAATGAAGCAGCAGACGTGCTTTTGCTGCGTGAACGTAGCATAACTGCACAAAGATTGCCACTGTGCTAGCAACGAGAATGCTTTTAACTGGGGGGTGTAGCAGTTCTCGGCCGTAAAGCAAGACTGACTCTCACGAGACTTCTGAGCCTGTGGGTGCGGGTCGGTGCTCCTGCAGTTGCAAGTGCAGTATTTCCCCCACAGACCACCAGGGCGGCCGAGAAAACCTTTGTTCAACCTAAAATGACTCATTTAATCATCCATAACGTTATGGAACACATTAATTAACTGAAAAATGTTGCATAGTGTGCCTTTAACCAACCTTAAACCTCTGTTTAAGGTTGGTTTTTCTTTCTTTCTTAACAAAAATGGCTTCCTTTACATTTTGGATATAAGGACCAAATATAGTAGCCTGACGTAGTTTGACTCAATTCTAGTCAGAATGAGTCTGATGCTGCTCCATAGAGCTGTGATTATGGGGCGTGTTTCGAACGAACCAGGAAAAAAAATGCCTCTGCACTCAATTGGATAGACCTACAACCAATAAGAGCAACGGAGTGCGTGACGTATGTTAAGCGACGCATAGTTGTTGTCAACAAAAATCAAAGCGTGCAGTTGCACGCCTAGAATAAGAAGATGAGCCTTGATCGCGTTTCTCTGTTCCTCTTTTAAAATTAATTTGCTGTCGATATCTTCTAGAACAGACCTAATAGCAGAATCTACTCACCTCAACTCTCCAGCGGCAGCCATTGTTGTTGTCACCCAAGCGCGCTTTGGTGACGTGGTTGATTACGTTACTGTTGGTCATCTGTCCATCATCGTATAAAGCCCGCCCTGACAATTTGATTGGATCGCCAGAAGGTGGGCGAGCATACTCGCGCTACTGCCAGACCGAACTTCCCGACCTCAAACCTTGTGGGCGGGACTAAGTTCGGAATGGCACCCAGGCTACAAATATAGACCCAGGAGACCCCAAGTCCCCTAAGTCCTCCAAGGAGTCAACATGGTACCTTATTTTGGACCAATTGTGCCATGTATGAATACAGATATTATAATATAATATCATATAGTAAATATATTATAGTGTCGCCTCTCGCTCATAGACTGATGGAGATGGCCACGTCTCCACCTTGACCCTTACGGAAAAGCGGGAGAAGATGGATGAAAAATATAATGTCAAAATAAAATGTATCATGTCATAATATAAAAGCTATGCCATAAGGTATGGGGCATTGCAGGATAACAAAGAAGCTAAACAACTCCCATTCCAGAGGGGGGGACCCGTTCATCCGTTTCTATTTGCATGTTTTCTAAACTAAAACCAGGCTTTGTTGGGCTGCTGGATAAAACCTGGAACTAAACGCTATTTCTGACATTTTGAATTAAGAGAAACGTCCAGTGGATTTTTTTTTTAACACTTTTTTGGAAAGCTTCGATCGTCAAAATTTCAACTAATTAAGACTTAAAATCGGAAGGTATTCCAGTCTGTGTGTATTTAACGTTTCTACTGTATGAGAGTTAGGTTTATTCAATGATTATTATAAAATTTATGTGTGTTTATGAAAATTTTTTGCGAGGGGATGCTCCACTCCTATGTCATGATCCAGTCAGGAGACCATCCTGCCTTCATGAACTGATCAGTTGTTCTGTCAGAACAATACTCTGTTTGTAACCATGCGTCATGTTCTGTTAATAAAACGCTCTGCAGAGGAGGTCTAGTGGGAGTCTGGGGTTCAACTGTCTCTCCTTTCTGCAGAAATTGTATCCATTACTGTGTATTTCAGTTCTTCTTTTGCAAAAACCTACATTTATGAACCCGACAGTAACTATTGAATTTCTTTGCAGTAGGACATTTTTGTTGGTTTGTCTTTCTTTGTAGGTTTTTTATTTGATAAAGTGTCTCTCTTCAGCCTTTGAATTTTATCTCTTTTTCTTTGATTGGATTAAATATTATCTTTATATTGTGTTTTTCTCTTAACTTGAATAATTTGGATTTTATTGTTGCTCTTTGGTTGGTTTATCAGTGGAATCTTTCTTTCCCCATTTTTCTTTCACAGCCAGATACAGTAACCTGACCGTCCGTGGCATCAATGCATATAATGATCCCAAAGTAAGCAGGATCCTGATTTGTGAGGCTACCGGTGGCTACCCAGAAGGCAACCTGAGATGGATTGTTGAGAACAACACAGACTGGACGAAAAGCTCCAAGCAAACTGCGACCAAGATGGAAAACGGTCTGTTGAAGATGCACAGCGAGCTGCCCCTGCTGAAAGGGTCTACCTTCGATCGATACGCCTGTGTGCTGTTCAATTCCAGCGGTGGCAGACAGGAATCCGTCCTCTTCACACCCTATAACCAAGGTAAGTGTTTTTCTAACATGTTTCATAAAATACACACATTGGTTAAAGATTAGTCAACCAAGAGCCGACTGTACATGTTTTTCTTTGCCGCGGGGGGGTTGAGGAGATGCCAAAACTTCTACCAGAAAACAGAAATGTGAAGCAGTTATGGATAGAAGAAAAACAGTCTCTTTGGAATCTGCCTTTTTTTGTACACAGAATTTTAAATACTGATTTTTTTTTTTACACATTCCTTACAATGAATTTTTATCTGGTGAAAATTCAGCTGCAAAAAAAAAAGAAATCGGACTGGGTGAAAATAACGGGGCTGATCACAGCTAGTACGGCACCCCCGTTTGCCAAGGCTCTAGGTTTGATCCGGAAGAGGCGGCCGACGGCAAACATTTTGATTTTTTCTGCACAAATGAGTTAAAGGAATAGTACACCCAAAACATGATTAGCCTTCATTTTCTACTCACCCCCATGCTGAACAACACTCTGGAGTACTTTTTTGATATCTCAAATGCATCTGGAGATCTGGGAGGCTTCTTGCTGTCTGCTGACATTCAAATAATGGAGGTCTATGGCGCCCGAGACAGAAAGGTCCATAAAAGTCCACAAAAACGTGTCAATATTCCTCCATACTGCTCGTCCAATGTAATCCAAGTGTCCTGAGTGGGTAGCATCCAGAATTTACTGGAAACGAAGTCATTTAGAATGTTTTTAGAGCATAAACAGTAGTGTATAGGATTTCCTGAAAGCGCGTTCATGACGCTACGGAAGCCGGCAGACCAAACCAGATGAAAGTGCGCATTCAGCGTCTGCTCTGCCAATAATGCAAGCGTAGAAGAAGAAATGTGCTGTTTACCTGTGCAAAGAAAGAAACAACGAAAGAAAAATGTCTGAGGACTAGTGTTGAGGAAGAGCATGAGTTCTTTGCCGAGCTGAATGCGCACTTTCATCTGGTTTGGTCTGCCGCGGTTTCCGTAGACTCGTGAACGGGCTTTCAGGAAATCCTATACACTACTGTTTATGCTCTAAAACATTCTAAATGACTTCGTTTCGAGTAAATTCTGGATGCTACCCACTCAGGACACTTGGAATACATTGGACGAGCAGTATGGAGGAATATTGACACGTTTTTTCTGGACTTTTATGGACCTTTCTGCCTCGGGCGCCATAGACCTCCATTATTTGAATGTCAGCAGACAGCAAGAAGCCTCCCAGATCTCCAGATGCATTTGAGATATCAAAAAAGTACTCCAGAGTGTTGTTCAGCATGGGGGTGAGTAGAAAATGAAGGCTAATCATGTTTTGGGTGTACTATTCCTTTAATTTCATCGGCTAGAAGCTGCTCGACTGCATCCAGTCGATTGCTTTGGTTTGAATTCACCAAAAGGTCAACACATTTGCAGCTCAATTTTTTTGCAGCTCAATTTTCTCCAGATAAAAATTAAATGTGAAAAAGATTCATTATTTAAAATTTGGTGTCTAGATCCAGATTCCAATAAGACTGTTTTTCTTCCATAGTTATGGAGCATGAAAAGACAAAGGTCGTGTAAAATTCAACAGAAAAACAAGGAGTTTATTGAAGCTGAACCATCTTCTCTGCGTCGCTGAGGGATGGTTTTCTTTTGTCCGTAAAACCACACGTCTATCGAGACTCAGCAGTAAACAGACATGCTGGTTCTTGTCCCTGTAGGCCTGTCAGGGCCTGCCAGATTAGACGAGGCAATCCCCAATGGAAAATAAAACAGTTTCATCTCTCATGGAAAATTCTTCCAGCAGACCTGTTGGCTAACTCTCACCTGTGCTCCATCTTTCTTCGTCTGGTTAAAGCTGCTAAAGCAGCAGATCTTATTTGAAGACGTGTCAGAATCTTTTCCTGTTTTCTTTCATTATTGTAATAAAAGTTTTACATTTTGCTCCACAGGTTCCCAATTCGATTCTGAGCCAAAAGCGGAACAATCAAAATCTACATCAGCCATAGTGGCTCCAGTGGTGGTCATCGGGTCACTGATTGTGGGGTTGCTGCTGGCGCTGCTGTTCTTCAGAAGACGATCTCAAAGTGAGTATATCTCAGATTTTTCACTCTTATGATGTTTTTAAATGTCTTTGGAATAAAGATTAATGTCGTCTGAGGAACCTGCACTGGATGTTTGGCTGCATGGTTTTGGGAGCAGGGATTTGAGTTTTGGTTGATGGGATTTGGCCCATATGGATGTTTTTCTTGGTCTGGGAGGAAGTTCCTGACCTCGGGTCGTTTTCCTGCATGTCTGGTTGTTTGTTTGTTTGTTTCTCGTCTGATTGGTGTGAAGTGAGACCAGCTGGTCACAAAATGTCACAATAAAATAAAGATAAAAATAAGGATAAAAAAGGATGGGGAACGCTTGTTTCTGATGCAAATCATGTCTGAACAATCTGGACACATTTAAAAGTAAACATTTATATTTTAAGATGTATTAACATAGCATTTTTTCCTTAAGATTATTATTTTTGTTAAAAGGTTGGTATTGAATTTTTAATGGAATGAAAACTTTAATTTGAAAACAAAAATTGTGAAATATGATCCAATTACTTTTATTTACAACAGAAAAAAAGCAATTTTCCTTTTCTGTAAACATGAAATCAACCAGTATTTATATCTTAATTGTTTAATTGTGTCTAATTTACCAAAAGAATTAAGGAAACATCTAGAATAAGCAAAATAAAATATAAGAGACACTAGACATGATTCATAGTTTAGTTTTCAGTTGTTTTATGTGCGAAAAAAACAACAAAAATAGCAGAGGTGCTGTTTATTTTACATTGTCTGCTGCTAAAAACTGGTTGAACTTCTTTGCTATGACTGATGATGGAAAACAGATTTCCAGGATTGCTTAAAGCTGCAGGAATTGCATCAGAACTCCTGCAGCTGTTGCTTCATCAGCTCTTAGTAGGAAAACTCATCATGTCATCTTACAACCCTCCAAATTTGTTTTTTGGGTTTTTTCTTTTCAAGAGTCTTTCTACATAGTTAGCATGTTCTCCCTGAGAATGCGTGGGTTCTCTCCGGGTACTCCAGCTTCCTCCCACAGTCCAGAAACATGACTTTTAGGTTAATTGGCTTCTGTAAATCCTCCTTAGGTGTGGATGGTTGTTTGTCCTGTTTGTCTCTGTGTTGTCCTGTGATGGACTGGAGACCTGTCCAAGGTGGACCCCGCCTCTCACCTGTAGACAGCTGGGCACCACCACCCCCCGCCATCCCACTTGGGATAAATCTTGATGGAAAATAAACGGATGTTTTTCCAAGTCAGATTATTTAGATCAGAGAATATTCAATTCTATTCAGTTTATTTCTATAGCTCCAATTCACATCATGTCATCTCAGGTCACTTTCCAGTTCACCAGATCATCCAGTCAGATTGGTTCAAAGTTTTCTATCTAAGGAAAACCAGCTGATTGCATCGACTCATATATTGAAACTTAAGACATAAAATATTGACGCAATATTGAAACTGAAGCTTTTATTCCAGTATTAACATTTTTTTTCCTACTGTCTGAATCATTATAGGTTTTAATTGTCACTGGTTGAACCTCATTTTACTGCAGGTCCAGTTTGGCCACTTTTTTTCGTTTGTGCCAAGTATTATTATCAGACCTTGACCAAGTTATATATTAATAGGTGTGATATAAATGCAGCTAGTTGTTAATGGACACAGCAGAGAGCAACGTACTCAAAGTGCGAGATTTCATCACTTCCTTCCCCATTGCGAATAATGAGGAAACACTGTTTGCAGGACAAACCTGCATAACAGCCAACGAGTGAGAACACAGGCTGGGAAAGTACCTCCTAATCAGATGAAGGAGCTATAGGCTGCAGACTTTACACGACTTTAAATACTGTAGCAAGAATAGATTGTGTGTTTTAAAAAAAGGTAGATAGGTTGTTGTTTCCAGTGACTGCCTACCCCCCCGTCATGTTCTGACTTTTTTTTTTTTTTTTCAAATGTCTGACAGAACAGCGGAGGCCATCAACTGCTCCTCTGATGGGTATGTCCATGTTTGGACAAGCTGTTAAAGCTCCTTTTCTTTTCCAAATGGGCATAAATGGCTAACAGTAGTTTAAAGATTAAACCAAAGGACCTTTTCTGCTCACATTCCTCTAAATCAGCCTTAACCTGCTGAACCTTTTGGTGTTGGACATTTTTAAAGTGTGATTAGTTGAGATAAAATGTAGATGACTTAAATATAATCCAGATGTGTTGCAACATGTGGGAACTTAAAATGAATCACAGATGGATTCCTGGCCTGGAATCTCTGCTCTCCTCACCCTAAACTTCCTGTTTTTTCCTTACGTACTAAAATAGTTGAAGGCTGTAAGTAATTTATTTGTAATCAATAGCGTTAGGATAAAAAAAAAAAAACTGTTGTCTTTAATTAGAAAAAAGGAGAAGGTGCGGCAAAAATGACTTTAGGTGAAATGTCATAAAAAGCGCCCCCTGCTGGCGGAAAGTAAAACCTGTGGTTTGAATGTGGGTCATTACAACATCTGAGAAGCTTACCGTAAATCCTCTAATATAGGCCCGGGCCTTTATTTCACTCAGGTGCATCTTGGTCCAGGCCATTAATGGAAGGAGGCCAGAATTAGAGGCAGGCCTCTATTTTTATTTGATCAAAACAGACGACCAGTGGAATGAATAAAAACAGTTTGTTTCTCTTTGAACCGATAAAATACCAGGTTCATTTATTGAAAAAGTAGTTACTATAACGGTATACAGAACATTATTCAGACATCTTCCAGCAGCTGCAATTTTTCTGCACAGCAATACGAAGAAAAAAAAAGACACAGAATGGAATCTGGTGAAACAAAGTTTTAAAATAAATTAATGGAAACTGTTCTGCCATCACAGCCGGTCATAAAAACCAAACAATCCGGCCTCCTGTCTGCGCTAACGATGGTACTTCTCATGCTAACGGCTTGGATTGGTTAGCAAACACTGCCCCCCTGTGGTATTTGCATGTTATTATCACAGGTTGTTGAGGACTGCACAGGAACATCGTTGGTTCCAATTATAGCCCCGGCCTGTATTAGCGTCCGGCCATTATTAGAGACCCGGCTGCTAATGGAATACAGGCCAATATTAGAGGATTTACGGTAATTCAATAAAAGCATAACAGAAAAGCTAGTTGTGAATTTGAGGTGTTTGGATGTTCAGTTTATTTCTATAGCTCCAATTCATCTTCAGCAATCCCTCACACTAAGCATGCTTGTAGCGACAGTGGAGAGGAAAAACTCCCTTTGAACAGGAAGAAACCTCCAGCAGAACCAGGCTCAGTGTGAGCGGCCATCTGCTGAGGCCCACTGGGGTTCAAGGAGACAGAAGCAGACATAGAAAAAGAAGCATAGATACAAAAGGCAACTGTCAACCAGCTCCACAGGCGGCCCCGTCCAGGAAACACACAGCCAGGCAGACGAGCTCCGAGCCAGCTCCCATGTCAGAGGATGAAGAGAGCACATCCAGTTAGTCACAGTCAGAGAAACAGGACTACACTGGAAAACAGGCCAAGCTCCAACATCTAGAAACAAAGGTGTTGATGGCAGCAGCACAGCTGATATTTCTCTCCAGGATGGAGTCACAGCCAAACAGGAACAGACCAGATGAAGCTACTATGAGAAAAAGCAGAGAGAGCAGAAGGTTAGAGATTGAACTAACAGATTCTGCAGAGTGGGAGAATAGAGATAGAATGAAGCAGAATGATGGAAGAGGGGTCCCTATGTCCTCCAGCAGTCTAAGCCTATAGCAGCACAAATGTAGAAAGTAGCTCAGGATAAACTAAGTATTTTGGATGATGAATAAGAAAGAAAGGAGGTTAGAATTGTTATCAAGCTGAACAGTAACTGCTTACAGGCATTTTCGATGAACATAAAAACAAACTTGAGGATATGTTTGTTGAATTCATTCATAGGAGGCCCAGAAATGTTTGACCGCTTTCTGTCAGGGTTTGCATTTGGGCTTCAGGTGCTGTGGGATCTGTCTGCGCTTGCATGCTATGAACTTGAAACGGTGGTGGCTTCACATCGACGTTCTACGACCCTGATTTCTTACATAATGTTCTTCCTTCTTTTAGGGGAGCATCACATGGTTCCTTCAGCTCCAGAAGCCGGTAAGCATGACGAAATAAGCGTATCTACTGAATGTAATTAGAATGTAGCATTGAATTCAGTCTTATTTCCTCTGTAGAAATGGTTGATGATCCTCCTCCTGCGTATGAGCCCTAACACAGCTTGCCTTAAGGTGAGACTTCAACTCTTCACCTGCACTTCAGAATATTTTTTTATTTCTGCACCACATTTCTAGAAAGCCTCTTCTTTCTCGTTGCAGGGGACTCAACGAGCGTTAATGCATTGATTTACTGCGTGACTCCAAATCAGCACTTCCTTCCTCGCTAAAACCACCCGTATGACATAACCTTCCTCCAGCTTATAACTGCGTATTTTCAGGGATAACTTACTGTAATTCACCACTCAGCTTACCACGAATCTGAACTCAGCAGAAACACTGTTAAAGACTCAAATGAAGATAAAACGAGATCGGCTTCGCCGGTTATGCGTGGAAAACAGAAGCGACTTCCAAAAAGGTGGTTAAAATGTTGAGGAAAAACAGAAATATACCTACGATCCTGCATGGTAGGTAATGATGGGTATAAGAAGTGGACACAGGGTCCAGCCAGAGTTGAGAGGTGGATGAATATAAGCATACAGATAATATGTCTGTTGTTTTTTGTCTTTTTTAATGGTTTTTTTTTTTTGTCTTGTTTGGCCAACTCTGTAATTGTAGCCTTTGGCAGCTTATCGTGAGTTTGTCTTTTTATGTGATGATATGCTATAAGGAAAGCACTGAATCAGAGGGGGGAGGGGTTTAAAAAGTAGGCACTAGGATGTGTGGACTTTATGTGTTTTAGAGCTCTTTAATTTTGTCTTTTTTGTTTATTTTTTAAATAAAACGTCAGAAAGCATTTTGTATGTTTAAGATTTGTCTCTAGAAGTATCAGTCAACCAGCATAGATGCTAAAGAAAGATGCAGCACACTAGAAGAAAAAATCTGCTCCAACTGATGATTAAAATGCTTGAATTGGTAAAAAGTAATGGAATCTAGGGCTGCAACTAACGATTATTTAAAAAATCGATGAATCGGCCGATTATTTTTTTGATTAATCGATGAATCGGACAAAAAATATTTTTTATATTAACCTCTTTATTCCAAAATAAACATTTTAGACAGAACAAACAAGCACACAAGTACAGGTTGCTCATTAACTGTACTGGTGCAATATGAAAAATAAATGTTTGTGTTAAAACTACGCAAACTTACATGAGAAATGTAGCTGTACATCCACAAAATATAGGCTACTTTGTTTCATAAAGCGCAAAAAGAGACATTTTTGTTTTTAAAGCCCCTAAGGGGTTCAAACAATAGGCCCCCCATTTCAACAAATGAGGTTTTTTAGACTAGAAGAGTTCTGCCTTTTAAGACAGGAAAGTATAGCAGTTAAAGTTGCTACTTGAGAAAATACTGAACCATAGAGATAAAAATAGCCCTGAGATTCAAATTATAAATTGTATTTGGAATAAATAATTAATTGACATATTACTGATCTTGCTGGATTTTATTCTGCTTTACTTCCATAAATTACAGGATCTTCTTTACTTTATCTTTGCCAGAAGATTTAAACTTTAAAAGCCTTGCCCTCATAATTTGCAAGTTAATTTATTTATAAAGAAAATATAAACGCTGCTTAAGCTAATTCAAATGAAATTAAAAGTAAAATAAGTAGCCAACCTTATCACTGTCTGTAACCTACTAACACGGTAAGGAAAGCATCAGATGAGCTACCTGAGAAACTAACGTAACGTTTCCCCACTTTAGAACGAAACAAACATGGCCGCTCACCCTGCTGATCAGCTCTCTTCACCGCCATCGAAGGCTCCAACGGGTTTCCTTTTCAGGTGCTGCATCATAACAGTGGTGCTTCCGTGCCATGTTCATTTGTTTTTACAAAAGTTGCATGTTATCACTTTTTTCCCTTTACAAAGCGCAGGCTATTTTAATTACCGGTATTGTGATCAATTTGCGCCGTCAATCCCGGCGCATGCGCGCTTCATTTGCAGTCTGGACGCTGAAGGTAACATCCTGCTGCTCTGACTGCAGCGCTGAGAGGGACTCCTGCGGGAGAACAGGGTTGGGATGGGGATGACGCATTAATCGCGCGACACAACTAATCGATGATTAAATTCGTTGCCAGCGCTTTTAAAAGTCGATTTTATCGATTCGTTGTTGCAGCCCTAATTGAATCCAGTTTATCTAACTTAATTGATTGAGTTTCTAAGTTAAGTAATTAAATAAATAAGTAAAGGAAGCTGAATTAAATCACTTGTTACCAATTAAAGGAAAGTTTTTGCTGCATTTCTTTTTTTTTTTAGAGTTCACTTCCTTCTAGAAGATGGGGAAGTTGGGAAAAAAGGTTTTAACCTGTGAAGCAAATGTTGCTGTTTTTAAATGTGCTGATTTATGCATCTTACAAACTGGGCCACATCTTTTCTGATGATTATGACCGTATGTTCAATGTTAGGAAATGTCTGGATATTTACAGGATCAGCCATCCTATAAAGGACAGTAATTTAAAGCCGAGCGCCTGAAGCTGGAAGCCCAGTTTCTCATTGAGTTGCTTTGTAATTTAACACCAGATTTCGAATCCTGTTTCTGTTTTCAGGCGACAGTGATTGTGTTCAAAGATGAGCTTCTCCTCGAGCCAAAAGCATTGTCTCTTTGTTCGTGCGTAAAGTGAAACTGCACTTATATAACCTAAACCTTTTTTAGATTACTGGTTTATCTCCCTCTTTGTAGTACGTTGTCTTGGAACGATGCCGAACCGTAACAGATGTTGTCAGGGATGTAGAACAGGTACCAACAAGAACAAGGAATGTTTTTCACCTTGCTGCAAGTTTCACTCTAATCTTCTTAATGATTAACATGAAAATAAGAAAAAACAGAAGCTTTTTGTTTTTACATATAAAACATAATCATGTGGGTTGATGATGTTTTCAGCCTTCTTTCCCATTTTGTACATAAGGTATCAGCACACTCTAATCTCTGCTTATAGTCTAAATTTACCATCTGCTGTGTATATAATCCCATAAAATCGCTTTAAATTGTTTTAATTTCTTCTGTTCTTGTGATCTGCGTAGATTTCTTTTTTCGTTTTCTTTTTTATCACAATGTGGGGAAGTTCCTGACCTGTGCTTCTGCTGCGAGAAGCTTTCTCTTCTGCTTTCCATATCTGCACTCTGCTGTGTTTTTTTGGGAATGGTTCAGGATTTTCCAAGTATTCAGTTGGATCAGATAACTTTGCCCCTTTAGTCATTGTCTAAACCGGATTAGCCTTCTTTTGCTTTCTCTTCATTTTTTTCCTTTCTCTTTCATGTAAATGACTTCTTTGTAAATAACAGCGTTGAGTTATTGTTTCTCTGTTTAACTCTACAGGTTAATATTCACTCTGTTCTTTGTAAAATAAATTGTGATTCTTAAAACTGAAAAGTTGACGTAAAGCTGTACTGATTTTTTTCTTGAATAAAAAATCTGAGTCCTGAAGGGAAAAATGTGCAGTTCTTTGATCCTCCTGGATCATATCCAGTAAGAGGAATTTCATTTTAAACTGCATTTAAACTCAAACTTGCAACTTTAAGAGCCTTAAAAAGTCAAAATCTGCATATAATTTAGGTCCTGAGAGTAATGGGACCAGAAGTTTGGATGGTCAAACAGATCCTAATGTAAAATTCTTGCTCTAATTAAAGCTGACTTCAGCCCAATAACTGTAGAATAGCCACTAAAAGAGAGCAACCAGGGGCAAAATAATGTCTTCAAAGTAAATGATTGCTTACACACCACAAGTCCGTCCATTGTTGTCCTCCAAAAGTGCCTGATCAGCCAGGCGAAAAGTTAAAGTGTAGTCGTTGATCTCTGCCCACTGCTCACCATGATATTGTAATTTAAATTAAAATAACTCCAAATGGGTAAAAGTTTAAATGATTAAATGTTCATAAAATCCCTTTCTTCAAAAAGTCAGCTAGTTGATTACTTGATTTGTGATAATCGCATTGATTTATGTTGCCTTACAGAAACCTGGCTGCAGCAAGAGGATTATGTGAGCATAAATGAGGCAACTCCTTCAAGCTATTTAAATTTCAACATCCCCAGAAGTTCTGGGCGAGGAGGAGGAGTAGAAACAATCTTTCAGTCTGATTTACGGATTACTCCAAAGCAGAGATGGGAGGTAACGAAGTACAAATACTTCGTTACTGTACTCCAACAGATTTTTCTGATATTTTTACTTTACTACTTATTTTTATGGCGACTTTTTACTTCTACTCCTTACATTTTTACACAAATATCTATACTTTCTACTCCTTACATTTTAAAAAATTGGCTCGTTACTTTAGTTTTGAATCATTTCAATGGAGTTACCGTTATTATTTTTCACGTCATCAATACCAAATTCAATCTAACTGGATGGGAATCTACGTTGCCTTTGACGCACCACTACAAGATGAATCGATAGATTCGGCGGTATTCATTGGCGGCAAATCATTGCAGCTTGGTGGCGGTGGCGTTAGCATAGTAGCATGGACGACGAGATGATTGAAAATGAACACAACGGAGATCTAGTCCTATTGGCAGACATCCATTTAAAATGTAGGCAACGGCATGAAAAAAGAGGTTTCTACTTTTACTTTGATACTTTAAGTAAATTTACAAGCCTGTACTTTGTTACTTTTACTTGAGTAAAGAAGTTTAATCAGTACTTCCACTTTTACCAGAGTATTTTTTAACACAAGTACTTTTACTCAAGTACGGAAAGTGAGTACTTTTGCCATCTCTGCTCCAAAGGCAGTTAATACAACTCTTTCAAACGTTTAGTTTGGTTTTAGAGGTTTCCCTGCTTTAGCACAGCTGATTATCATGATTGCAGTAGAGCTGAAGCCTGTTAATCAGCTTTCAATTAAAATCAGCTGTGCTGGAACAAGGAAAGCTCTAAAACCTGCAGGACAGCGGTGCTCGAGGACCGAGTTTGGGGATGCCTGGTTTAACCCCTTAGTTTCCCTCATCCAAATTGCAAAGCCAGAAACCCTTTTCTCCTCTCTGATTTGGTATTAAATACTGACAGGATCCTCATAGTGGGAGATTTTAACATCCATGCTGACGTTGAAAGAGTTAGTGCAGCCTTTAACGCAGAGAGCGACTTTCTCCTCTCGAAGCAACAGTTTTAAGTATGTTAATTTTGCTCACAGGCGTCTTGAAATAAAAGTGATGCAATACTTTCCATTCATTCATTTTGTTAGGTTTATTATTTATACATCATGTGCATTGTTATTCTGTTAGCCAGATTAGACAGAGTAGAAGGCCTTCCTTCACATGGTGGATGTCACTGTGTGTACGGAGGTCATCTAATCAGGACAGCCTTCGTGTCTTTAAGAGTACACAGGATATGGGCACATCTTGGAGCCGGACTGATAGAGGAGAGCTATCTGTAACCCTGAAGCATAGAAGCAAGCTGCATATGGGTCAGGGCATTGAAGGCGTGTCAGTTTCTGATACGGACAGCTAAGCATCCACATGATGCAACACATAGCCTCATGAGCTATAAGAAGCAGTAGATGACCTTGTTCGGGGCTCAATCTTTGCCGGACGCTCGCAGACGTGATTTTTGAGCCCACAGCTGCGCAAGCTCCAAGCATTTTCTCTGTCCTCTAACGACCTGATCTGGAATAAACTCTGTTACTTTTCACACCTGTTTTATAGTCCTTTTTTATATGGTTTTACCCAGTTTGAGTTAAGAGTAGTGAATAACTTGCTCCCAGGAAAAGGACCGTGAGGAAGCCCCGAGGCGCAACGGCTTTTTTTAGGGGACATAACTTCCTAATTTTAACAATTTTCTGCTTTTCCTCCCATTATCTTA